GACACACTAATGTACTATGTGACATCTTATATATGCTTTTGTCCCTCATTCCCTGTTTAAAGCTCCCTCCCCAATTATTTTGTCAATTTGCATATATGCCTAGCTGCGCGAAGAAGTTTCACAGAAGAGCTCAAAAGTACGAACATATTACTACTACTACATGAGAAGCAGTTGAAAGTAACCAAGTTGTTTTTGAACATAGTTACAAATTCGTATAGTAGAATCTTTTCTAATCGAAAAAACATTTGGAGGACACACGAGGTTGTACGTGCACTTGAGTTTGCCTTTGGAGTTGAGAATGTCTCTGTAACGAGGGCACTCCAACTCGTTTTCCTCAATCTCAATGTTCCTGAAGGAACAGCACTTGCTGCTGCATATGCCACAGAAGTTAAAGCAACGCTTCTGTACTGCTTTCTTACACCTTGCATTCTACAGTGCATCACAAGAAACCTGCCATTTCCAATAATTAAACAAGATCAGTTTTCTGCTAGGCATCATTAGCAACCAAATTCTACACTGCGCAGTTTTTGGAAATTAACTTTTAATGACTTAATCCCTACTCACAAAGTCAATAAAAAACAGAATCAAAATTGAAAATAAGCAAAAGAAACAAAGATTTTTTATTGAAATTGTGTTGGAAATTGAGCAAGTGGGAATGGATATAGGTGTAAACTAGGTAGTAAACAAACTAAAAGAGTAATGCTACATAATATCGCTCGTGATTAGCATCAATAGGTGACTATGAACCTTGCATCTTAACGTTAATAATCAATTTGGTAACTACTTGTGCTAAATATGAGTGATGTTAAGAAAAAGTGGGGCTACCTAGCATTATTCTTCTTTAAATGGTTCATTGGTATTATGGGTTTTTATTGTTATTATTCGTGATTTAAGAAATTAGCGTCTGTTCGTTTAATGTCACTCATTGATGACATTTGAGGATTAGAATGCAATTTTACTAACAATATTTGTTACCATAAATTCATTTGTCCCTTTAATACTCATTGTTTCCACTTTCCAGCAATATAAAGCTTTTGAAGTTATATTTTTCTAGTGGTGCAGAGAGGATGTCAAAAGTGAAAATAGAAAGAGAGAGAGAGGAGCCTGACACTTGAAGTAATGAATAATCAAATTTATAATACAATAATAGAAGATGACAATGATAATCCAAAGCAGTCAATACAAAAAGTACAACTCTCCCCTCAAACTGTATGCCAAAGAATACAAAGAGAGCCAGTGTGGCAAAATCCCGTATCAAACCCGCTATATATCATAATAAACAGAAAAACTATCCGATGGGCTGGGTGGGGGGCAAAAGATAATCAAAATAATTCATGTCTTCTAGAAGAGGAACCAGCCAAACACGGCCCCTCCCAACACCAAACTTCCCAGCAAGCTCCTCATCAATTTCTCTGCTCCACTCTGCAAACACCAAAATGGGAAATTTATACACCAATTAATAAATTCAAAATCATAACCCCACATGCAACTCTTGATTAATAATGTAAATCTCAAATGTTATGTACTTAATTAAATAATATAGGTGTAAACTAGGTAGTAAAGGGATCCGCCGTGTTTGTTGTTGTAGACGTTACGATTGATTTTTTCTTTTCCTACCAATGGAGGAGAGGAAATAACTCAGATCAACATATGCTATGGTGTACCAACCAGTGCAAACGTTAACAGAGAGCACCTCCAAAAAGCACTGGTATTCTTTGATGATTTAGCTATGTAACTACAAGTTTATCAATGGCATGGCACGAAACACTATGATCCTGTTCACCTTACAGATCTAGAAAATTCTTCACTACAAATTACGTAATTTTTGATAAGCACTGTCCTCTTCGAATCTCTGTTTTTGCAAGAATTTAATGGATCAAGGTAAAACTCAAATGAAAATGAGAAAACAACAGCACGTATTACCAGATCTGGATGCACAATACCAACACTAAAGGACACGCAATACTAGAAATGTACCTCATCGTTAAGTGAAGTAGGACTTGGGGACATGGAATCGGCGCTAGGTCCGGGTGCTTCGGTTGGAGGTGCAGGTGGGCTCGTCAGTTCAGGAGCCGGAGCAGGCGAAGGTGAAGTATGCTTCTTGCTCTTCTTCTTGCTGTGAGCCGGAGCCTTAGCCGGAGTCTCACTTGGGGGCGCAGAAGCCGGAGCTGGTGGAGAAGATTCAGCTGGTGGTGTGGCGGCCTCGGGAGCCGGAGATGGTGGAGAATGGACTGGAGCAGCCAGCGGCGGTGAGCTGACTGGCTCGGGAGCTGGAGGCGAGCTCAATGGAGCCGGCGTGGAAACTGTCGGCGGAGAACTTATAGGAGCCGGAGTGGAAACGGTCGGTGGAGAACTTACAGGAGCTGGAGTGGAAACTGTCGGTGGTGAACTCACAGGAACTGAAGCAACAGGAGCCGCCACTGGAGCCGGAGATTTATGCTTCGTAGGTGAAGCAGCAGGCGGAGTAGAAACCTTAGCCGCAGCCGGAGCTTTGGACGGCGCAGCAGCCGGAGACTGGCCTCCAACACCAGCCACCACAATGCAGATCAATGCAACTAAAAATCCCACCTTGAACTCCATGGCAACTCTAGAGAGAGGAAAAAATTGCAGAAAATTGAAGGACAAACTGTCGAAGAACGTGAGAAAATATTAGTATTAGGCTCCTAATATGTAAGAGGTTAAGAAGGTTCGACATTTGAGTGGGCCCATGCTAATAAGGAACAAAAGAGGAGACTACAATGTGGCGATTCAACAGACTGGATTGGGCCCATTTCGCATGTGACTACTTTGGGCTGGCCATGACAACTGTTTTTTATACGTTGTGATCATTGTGTCTTTTTCGACTGGGAGGAGTTCTTACAGCTGGCAAATGCATGTGGGACCGACTAGAAATAACACCAACCAGACCAATACACGTGTGATTAAAGCCGATAATTGTGGAGCGTAATTATACGGGGAGCTTTGTTGGCCCATTAAAACATGGGCCCAACAATTTATTTAGCCGTTTTCATTTTTTGTCTTGCTAAAATAGCCGTTGGAGTGTTTTATTCGGATTCCACCAACTTTGTGAACGACTAGGTCCCTATTTGACATTCATTTTTCTAAATTTATTTTTGGATAAAATTGAATAAGACACGCTAGTTAATGAATGATAAAAGATAAGAAAACCATGAAAAAGTAATATTGAAAAAAATATAAAAGCGAATAAAGTTTGATTTATAGATGGAAGCAAGGGATAAAGATAGGGTGGAGTCTAGCCCCGGAGTGGATTTCAACAACTCATTCCGTTCATGTTTGACATTCGTTTTTTAAATCTCAATTTTTAAAACTCATTTTCAAATACATATTTTCATAATAAAATAATTTTCTCAAAAAAAAAAAAAAAAAAAAAAAAAAAAAAAATAATTAAAAAAAAAAAATTAAAAAAAAAGGGAAAGAAAGAAAGC